GGGGGGGGGGGGGGGGGAAATTGGGGGGGGTTGAAGTCCGCACATCTTAAAATGGCCCAAGTTGAGAAACACCACAATAAGGAAATTCTGCGAAGCTATTAAAAAGACTAAAACAGGAAAGACACCTGGTCCAGATGGACTGCAGCCTCTTACTATAAATATTTTGAAGACGAGCTTTTATAACCTTTACAAGAAGTGTGGACTTCAACTCCCAGAACCCCACAGAATTCCATAAGACGTCCGCACCTCTTAAAGTTGCCAAATTTGAAAAATTCCCCTTAGAACCCCTCTTGTCCCGCTGCCTTGCGCCAAATCATTAAAACAAGAAAAAGTTTGGAGCCCAGACTGGAGAAGAAGGTGGAAACTCTCGAAACCGGAACCCAGGACAGATGGTTTGGCTCCTCCAGATGTTTTGCACCTCCTGCTGGCCATTCGGTTACAAAACCATTTCAGACCCACTCACCATGATTTAAGGAGACGGGTGCACCCGTCTCACCTACAGTCTATCTCATTCTACTTCCCCTCCACCTTAGGCTGTCCAGGCTGGGGAGCGGGGATGATGGGAGGTGTAGTCCCCAAAATCCTGAAGGTTGCAAAAAGTTAAACAAAATTTTTTTTTTGCATTCACTGTCTGTTTTCTCAAACCCTGCAATAATGTTCAGTATGTCTGTTTTGCTAACCGGTGGTGCCAGCTAGGTTCAGCTAGAATATAGGGTTGGCCTGCTGCGTTAAGAAAAGTTTTGAAAAATTTGAATGCATCCCCCATATCTTGGTTTACTGGAGGGGGGGGCGTGCAGCTTGGCCGAAGGTCCCTGTGTCCTTCCGAAGCAGAAGAGTTGCATGCACGGTTGTGTTGTGCGCTGTGTTAAGAAAAGTTTTGAAAAATTTCCAGAAGCTGTTGGTTTGTGTTCTGGAGTTGTGACTCGAGACTGTCCTTTGCAGCTCACCCCGGAGGAGGAGGAACGACGGCGTCTGCGGCGGGAGAGGAACAAGCTGGCAGCCGCCAAATGTCGCAATCGGCGGAAAGAGCTGACTGACACGTTGCAAGCGGTGCGTTAAGGCGAGGGGGGAATGTTAATTGCATTGGCACGAGAGTCTGGCAGGGGGTGAGACTGGATGACCTCTGAGGTCCCTTCCAGTCCTTGCATTCTGAGCCTGCAAACGGGATCGACAAAAGCGTGGTTTGTTTCCATGTTGGCTGGGTTTGGGGAGGGGGTGAGTTGGCTTCTAGGGTGAGCAAGCCCCTACGGTTCTGGGTGGCAGTGCCAGTTCAGAAAGCGGGTTCATTTAAGAACTGGGTAATCAGGACGGGCAAAGATCACCAGCCACCGGAGATGGGCGGACCTCCTTTGGTGGCTTTTTCCCTTCTCCAAGGAGAAGAATCGGATCTCCCAGGCCCGGGTCTAAGCCTGCCCCCTTTTTCATCCCCCACCCCAGGAGACGGATCAATTGGAAGCTGAGCAATCGGGGCTCCGGAAGGAAATTGCGGAGTTGCAGAAGCAGAAGGAGCGCCTCGAGTTAGTCCTGGAAGCCCACCGGCCCGTCTGCAAGATCTCGGAGGAGTCATCCGGAGACGAGGAGGGGAGCCAAGGCCGGCCACTGGCCCTCTCTCAGCCGCCGGTCAAGCGGGAGTCCCCCCCAGCACCCAGTGGCTCTCGCCGGACGGCTCCAGTGCCCCCCAGCATCACTTTGCCCCCCAGCGGCCTGCTGGAGCCCGAAGCCCTGCACACCCCAACCCTCATGTCCACTCCGTCTTTTACCCCCTTCACCCCCAGCCTGGTCTTCACCTACCCAGCGCCGGGTGACCCCGACGGGCCCTCGGGGTCCGGCTTTCCTTCGGAGCCCTGCTCCTCTGCCCACCGAAGGAGCAGCAGTGGCGATCATTCCTCGGATTCGCTCAATTCTCCCACCTTGCTGGCGCTTTGAGGAATGAGCTCTTTTGGGCTGCTTTGAACCTTGGCTGCGTTTTTTGGGGGTCGAAGGAGGTATTCCTTCTTCCCTGGTTCCTTTCGTGGTGCCAAATTCCCTTGGGTCCCACTTGTGAGACCCTGGTTTCCATCTGTAGTTACAGGCCTCTTGCTTACCCGCCCAGACGCAGGAATCAAGTTGCTAGTCCTCAAGGGTAGCCATAAAGCACTTTTATTTTGTCAAGAGAACCTGCGTTCTGGAAAACCTGAACTGTAACCAGTGTTATGTTCTTTCACCAGAAATGAAACACTAAAATCTCTCTTACACACAGTGCTTACAGGCCTCTTGTCCCTGCACTCGTGTGTAGGGCCCAAGGGGCTAGTCCTCAAGAGTGACTGGACATTCTTTTTTTTTTTTGACACAGAGTCCTCTTTCTGGAAAATGACTGGGGCTTTTTGGCTCCGTAGATCACTTTTAAGAAAAAGAAATCACCATTTTAAAGTCGCTTTTCACTTTATATCCCTCCACTTTTTCAAACTAAGGGCAGAAAGTTAGGACTAAAATAGATTTATTTCTCTACAGTGGCCTACAGCCACCAGGATGAAGCAGGATGTATTTCCTTTCCCTCCAGAACTGAAGCTGGTTGGAGATATATATATATATATATATAATTATAAATGTAGAGTTCTTTTCTTTTTGCCTGATGTCTTGTGAAAATTACTTGACAAGTGATGTTTGGAAAAAGCTGGGATCGTTTCGTGCAGTTTTAGACACGGGTCCTTGGCCAACCGAACTTGCGCAAGAAGGAATTTGTACAAAACTCTATATTCTGCAGCATTTTCATTAAAAAAAGGTGTCTTCAAACCTCATAAAAATTAATCTGAGTTCAGTGGGACATTTGAGTAAAAATAAGGTAGTTGTACTAGATTAGAAGCAAGTGCAAAGAGCTGTCAACATCGCAGGCTGGTGGGGGATAAAATTAGCTATTTTAATAACTTTGTTATTTGGGGGGAATATCTTTTGAGTAATAAACTCAGGAAGCCCACAGGATTCCAGGGTGCTAGAGAAAATCCAGATGTGTTCAGCTGGAGGGGGGGAGTTTCCTCCTCGGCTTAGTTTTTCTGAAAACCAAACAAACTCTGCTCCTAGACCTCATGAACTCTGTGGTTTGGCCAGGAATCCTGTCTCAGCATCTGTTTTGAGGAACCTCGGAGCGCAAACAGAAAGACGTGAAGATGCTCCAAAGAAGAGCAACTTTGGTTCGCAGAGCCCAATCAGACTGGTGTCGGCCTCTGAGGCTGCGGGTTTCACCTAAACCTCATAAGGACTAGCCCCATGCACAGCCAACAGCCATAAATCTGCGACTTTCACGCCAAATCAGCCTATGAGGAATTGGCCCCACGGCCTGAAGCCGTAAAAGGGGATGGCGACCTACCTTGACCTGAAGAAGCAAAAAGGGTGTTTGGGCTCCTTCGTCAACCAGAGAACGGATGGGGCTTGGATCCGATCTTCTTTTTCCAAGACAAATCACAGCCAGGAACAAACCCCCGGATCCCAACCGAGTCGGAAGGTTTGTTTACAGCCGATGTTTAGTTCCAGCATTGTCAAAAGCACGTTTCCCATCTCTGCCCATCTCTTCCACTCCCTCTTCCTGTGTGGGTTGGCAGAGCCTCCTCCTGAAAAATTCATGCAAGCCGCTTTGGGAGAAAATGTTTGGAAGATGGGATGGAGAAGTGTAATTAAAAATAAACATGATCGCGGCACAGGAGGGTCGGAGCGTTCAGCCCGGGGCTTGGCCTGGGCTCAGCCTTGAAAGAGGACCCCCCAAGAATGACACCCCTGGGCATCACGCCAAGGGAGGCGGCTAGGGGCGAGCCGAGCATCTGTGCAGGCGACCAGAGCATGAACGATCACCCCTTCCTTTGGGACCAGCAAAGGAAACAGAGTAGATTGAGGGATGAAAGCCAGGGAAGCTGCATGGAGCGTTTGGTTTTTACGAGCTCGCTCGGAGTTCTCTGCCTCTGGCAGCGTTCACACGACAGGCTTCCACCCGACAGGTAGAAAATGCGTGGTTGGCTCAGGCTTGGGGTGAGGGAGCACAAGGCGAGAGGCCAGCCTGCTTGCGTAATTTGCAGTTCGTGTATTAGGCAAACCCAGGAAAAGGGGATTTCCATCTCTGGGTCAAACAGGTTGTGTGAAGGCGGACTTTCACAGGCCAAGGAAAAAGACACACGCACACACACAAACATCCTCTCGGCTGCCTCTGATCTACCTCTCCTCCCTTCCAAGTCGGATCGACCATTTTCCTTTCGGTCCAGCAGCGTCAGAGCCCCGAAGGCAGGGCGAGGGATCTCTCCATCCGGCCACATTGACACTGGCGCTTTTCTTTATCAGAGAGCCAGGATCCGGCCACCTGCTTCCTGCCCCGGAGACCCTTTGTCTCCGTCCGGGCTGGGCAGGAAGGGCCAGGAAGGCCGGGCCCGCGCTCCCCTCCAGTTGCAATTTTGCAAACGGCCCGCTGCGCCTTTTGGTTCCTGCTCCAGCCATCCACCAGAGGCACGTCACGCGCCTATCGGTGCCTCCTGGGCTGGAGCAAGAGATTTTGAACAAGCCAGGATTGTTGGACGTGCCTCGGGGAGGGGGGGAGTTCTTGGGGTGTCTGGCAGTTTCCAACCCCCCCTTGACCCTCGATGCTCATCGTGGTCCACGAAGCAGACGATGCCCAAACCGAACCCCGTTCCGATTCATACCGGCTGAATCACAGAATAAAGTTGGAAGGGATCTGAGAGATCATCTATCTCACCTCCGCCCAGTGCAGGAACCTTATCATCCCAGCCTCCCCGATTCCAGCCCGTCAGCCCCCCAAGTTCCACTGTGGAAGAGATCTCACCCCACCAGGAAATTCTTCCTCATGGCCCCCTGAAATCTACATCCTTCTACTGCCATATTGTAGAATCATAGGGTATCAGTCAGATAGGACCTCAGAGATCCCCTAGACGAACCCCGTGCAGGAATTCCCTCTAGCACATTCCGCTTTTATACCACCCCTGATGCTGCTCCAACAGAAGACAGCCCCCTGCCCCTGAAAAAGTCCAACCCAGCTCTTACCATTCGGTGATTCTTCCTAACGTCCAACATCCATCTTTTTTTTAAATTAAATCAGGGAGTTAGGGCCGCAAGGGGCCCTGGAGAACACCTACTGCACCCCTCCGGCCAGTGCAAGACCCCCAACCATGGTCTAGGTCGGTGTTTTTCCACCTTGGCAACTTACAGAGGTGTGGACTTCAACTCCCAGAATTCCCCAGCCAGCTGTACCAGTTGCCAGGGTGGAAAAACACAGGTCTAGGTTGTGAGCGAACTCGGCAATGGTGTTTGGGCAATCTTCTTCCAGCCAGCAGTCCCATTTCAAATAAAGTCTCAAGTTCCTGAGAAAAATAAGAAAAGACCCTCTTACAGCTATGCCAAGGCAGATTTCAACAGGGCATTTGTTTTCATGCTGGAACATACCTACTTTGTAATACGGTTTCTCAACCTTGGTGGCTTTAAGATGTGTGGACTTCAACTCCCAGAATTCCCCAGCCAGCATGG